TTTTAAAATAAGTTAATAAATTACATGGAAAAAATCGTTTGATTAGCTATTCTAAAATATAAAAATGATTCAAAAATTTTGATTGAAGATATCAAATTTTTGTTTAAGTTAATCAGAAATCTTGACAGTTTAAAATGAATTCTGATAATTTCAATTGAAATATCTGAATTGTTCATATCTTATCAGAATTTAGTGCTAATGGTATATTTATTTATTTTATATTATTTATTTTATGTTATGCGATAATTCGTAACATCCTATCTAGGATTCTTTTGACATTTTTAGAAAAAATTGAAAATTGAGATTTTCCGCAAAATTTGAAACGCTTGGATACGCTAGAGATGAATGAATATGAGAGAGTTACGAAATAAGTTCTTGGAGAAAAATATGTAAATTGAAAAAACAAGGAAGCAAAACATTGATCAAAATATACGGAATGATCTTTTGGCGTTGAATAAAAAAAATGTTTATGGAATGGATATGTTTAGGACTTGTCATACAAATTTTATACGGGAATTCTGTCTCGTTTTGTAAAAACATGTTGCCTTTTGTCACGTTTTACACAGTGGTACCTGCAAAACCGTCTTCCAAATCGGACAATGTTTCTGAAACCATGGCTACAATGTTTAATAAGCGTATGGGCCGTGATCTGTTCAACGACTAGAGTGAGCGACAACCGACATCATTGGTGGGACGTTCTCGTCGGCGATGTCCTCGGGCTTCTATTCGGCGTGTTTGTCGTGGTGGTACCATGCCAGCACTTCTACTTCAAGCGCATCGACGCTACTGTTACGGTGAAGCACACTCTTAATGAACCTTTGGAAAATGGCCAGATTATCAGTGGCTACAATAAAATACAGCACCAACAAAGCGATAAGCAGTTATCCTCTGCCATCGATTCGGAAGACCGAGAAATGAAGAACGTCACAACGTGGAGAGAATATACCATGGAAGAAGCATAATCATTTTATTCCCGAATGACAAAGGACAAAGGACCATGAATGACGTGAATGACAGGGACAATTTTAGGAGTGAAAATGGAAATATAGGAAATTTTAAAGAATTGCAATGAATTATTCGTCTTGGAAAAGATTCTATTTCAGATATGTCGGAAGAGTATATTTTTACTGTACCTGATTTTAAGTAATGATAATAACTTACAATGCAATAGTTGTAATATTGTATGTAAAGAGATAGTTACATAAAATTGTATATCAATAGTCAGTAATACGAAAGATACTATTTTCAAATCTAAATTTAAATCTTTATGAGATTTTAGAGTTGAAAATATCCACACACATGAAAATAAAAATTTGAAACAAGATAAAAATACTAATGGAAGAAATACACGCGTAGAAAAATTAATTCTGTACGAAAGATTGGATATATAGATAAGGTAAATAATAATGAACATAATGAAGATTAATGTAAATATAAAC